GCCCCAGGCTGGGGCTCAAATCTGCCTTCATAGCTGCAGTGTTTTTCTCTGAGACTGGGTTTTACCCCAGGACTGCTTGAGCGTGTGTGTGCGCACACACGCGTGTGCAGGCGTGTGAGAGAGAGCAGGAGCGCAGGAGTGCATGTGTTCACAGAGGTGCAGGAGTAAGGGGGCGCGAGGGTGGAGTGAGACCAGCCAGGGACCTAGGGCATTCCAGAGAGGCCCTGGGTGTGGCCGGGTCTCAGGGCAGGGGCGGGCAGCCCCGTGGCCAGCAGTCCAGGGTCACTGATGAGCATCCCGCAGCTCTGGTTAGCTTTATGATCCCCAGAATTTGAGAAAACAGGCCTCCCACTGGTACAATTAATAAGTTTTCCCACGTCTCTTTGCAGGGGTGAGCAGACTGTGGGGTGGTCAAATCAGGGAAGCCAGCGTGGGCTCCTCGGTGGCCAGTAATGAACCTGATAATCAAAGCGTCACGTGGCAGCCCCTTCTCCCCTAGGCTCCTAGGAGGGGTGGCAGGCACTGGGAGGTTAATTTGGGAGCCCTGCGGGAGCCATCGTTGCCCGTGAGGCCTGGTCTGTGGTCATCTGTCTCTCTGTGCCCCTTCCTCCTAACACTGACGCTGGGCAGGAGGGACGTTAGGCTACGGCGGGCATGGCCTGCCCTCCCAGGGGCCTCGTTCCCTGTGGGGAAGACAGACAGGAAAGCACATCAGCAGGGCCTGGCTGGGGGCTGTGAAAGAGGGGGGCCCAGGGAGCCCCGACAAAGCTGGGGGTTGGGGCGCTCCTGGGGTTGACCACGTGGCTCACTGTCTGTCTCCTGACATAGCCAGCCTTGGCTCCCTGTTCCTATTTTGCCCACCAGAAGGACAGGGCCCCAAAGGCACCCCAAGGCTTCCTTGTCCGGGAGAGAGAATCAGAAACCTCAGCCTCGCTCGAGGCCTGCTGGCTGACCCCAGCAGCTGGGCCAGGGCAGGCGGGCCTGGCGCAGAGGCTGCCTGGCAGTTGGTGTAGTAACAGGCGTGTGGCACGGGGTGTCGGGACAGAGGCTGGTAGGTGGGCACGAGGCGATGGCGCCTGCGGAAGCTCCCTTTGGATAGCTTGGTTTTCTTGGTCAAGAAGGAAATGAGGTCATGTGCTGTGGCTGGAGCCTTTGATCATCAGGTTCAATACTGGCCACTAAGGAGCCCATGCTGGGTCAGCCTGCCACAGAGGGGAAAGTGAGTCTGTCACCTCCACGGTGCATTTGCCTTCCATCTAGAGGGGTACAGGCACACAGTTGAGGGAGAGGTGGCCCTAAAGGGCGGGGTTTACCTGGTAGCACAGTGAAGATAGATCAGGGATCTGAGGAGGCTGTGCGGTCCTTGGTGGTCAGTGAGGACAGGGCCAGTGAGGGGCTTTGCCGGCTGCTAGCACTGATGTGTCAGGGGTGTCAAGGGGCATCGGAGGGTGGAGCTGGGGAGAGTGGGTGTCAGAAGTGGGATTCCTCCAGGGGTTTGACTGGCAGAAGCACCGTGGGCCTCACGGTGGGTCTGGTAGCCCCCACACACCCTGCAGGCCTTCCCTGTGTACTCCCATCCCAAGGCTGGAGTTGGGAGGCCTTCTGTGGCCCTGACTCGTGTGTGAAGCTTTGAGTCCTGGGCTACTCGGGACCTGGGAGCTTTGTCTAAAAGCCAGGTCTGATTAAGACGGTGAGGACAGTGGCAAGCCCTGACCTGCAGGAGTGAGCCTGCTGTGGGAACAGAGACGATGACCCACTGTCCTGGCAGTCAGTCCTGACCCTCCTTCCTTGGGCCCCTGCTGACTGTTGTTCTCTGGGGACTGGGGTCCTGGGTCCTCACCTGGTGGCCTTCCCTGTGGGTACAGGGATCTGCCTGGATGTTTGGCGACTGGAGTGAGGAGAGCAGTAGCCCAGAGTCCTGCTCCTTGACCTCTGTGCCCCTCTGTTCTCTTATCTGGGGACGGAGTGATGAGAGGCCCAGGCAACTGCTAGGTGCCGGTCGACAGTTTCTGTCCTACCTGCAAAGGTCCTGGCAGGGTAGATGGCACCAGCAGGGCCACCCCCGAGGCCCAGGGAAGCAGACCCCTGAGACAGGCAGAAACCCATGGCCTCCGAGCATAGGGAGCGCCAGTTGGAGGTGCACGAGGGTCTCACCCGCAGTGAGAGGGTCGTCCCCTGGAAGGCACAGGGGCGCAGGGCCTCCTGCATGGGGGCCTCTGCAGAGTGTCTGGTGTGGGCCCCTGGGAGCTACCCCCACTGGGGGGGGAACGAGCTGGGTGGGGGCCACTTGGTCTCCTCTCAGGGTCAGTGTCAGCCAGCGGAGGTGGCCCTTGGCAGGAGCTGTGGAGTGGGCAGACGATATCCCTGACTGCCCCTGGCTGTCAGCCCTGGTGTTGGGAATGTGATGAGAACACAGGCTCCAGCCGCAAGTGACCAAGCCAGGGCAGCTGGCGCCTCCTCACGGGCCCTGCAGGGGGAAGGCAGTCTTGGGGGATCTTTGCAAGCCCCCCGACTTCATCAGCCTCAACATGCCCCCCCACTCCCATGCAAGAGTGCAGCAGACCTTGCAGCCGGGTCAGCTGTCGCTCTGCTGCGCCCTGCAGTTGTCCGGCCAGCTCGTGAAGGCACGCCCTGGCTCTGTGCCAGGCCCTGGGCACAGTGGTGGGTCCCTGGGGAGCTGGGCTCATGGTGTGGGTACAGTGGAGAGCCAGGGATCTTTGGCCAGGGGCAGGAGCTGATGTGGCTGGGTTTTACAATGGGCTGCTTGGAGGGGTCTGAGTTGGGGGGCCGGGGAGGGGCAGGAGGCCCCGGGACCCTGGCACTCGGTGATGAAACAGGACAGCAGCTCCGCTGAGGACCCTGCCCAGGAGCCACGCAGGGAGGGTGGGGCCAGCTGGGGCTTCAGGACCCCCAGGTGCTGGCTGGGGAGGAGTTCACCTGGGCAGGAAGGAAGCAAGACAGATCCTGGCAGAGGGGACATGGGGACAGAGTCACCAGGATGAGAAACTGGCTGCAGCATGTGAAGAATGACAAGCAATTTGGTGTTGCTGGAGCATGACTGTCGGGCCCAGGCTGAGAGCTGAGGCCACAGCTGCGCCTGCGGGTGCCGAACGGGCCACACAGCATCAGGGGCACAGGACGGGAGTGGCTTCCAGTCCCTTGGCTGACTGTGGGACGGTGAGGCCGCCACCCGGCCCTGCCCGTCGCCATGCAGACCGGTGGGGAGCTGTCGAGCAGAGTCGGGTATGATTTCCCGGGGGGCCGTGCTCGGGGCAGGTCATCCACAGCGAGGAGGGGGCCCCAGGGAGCACCCAGATGGGCTTCCTAGGGGAGGTGGCCGAGCAGAGCCTCCTGAGGAGCAGCGCCATGGAAGGCGGGGCGGGGGGCCCCCCAGGAGAGGGAGCAGCAGGTGGAGTCCTAGAGGGGATGTGAGGGCCACGCTGGGGAGCTCAGAAAGGTCTGAGCAGTCGTCCCGCAGCAGGGAGGAGGCAGCCTGGCTGGACAAGGGCAGAGCACTGACTGGCTGTGCCCGGGCGTGTGCGGGTGTCTGGTGCGCTGGGCGTGGCTGGACCCCTCTTTGTGGCCTCTTGCCAGGCTAGAGCAGGGTGGGGCCCCAGCAGGGTTCCACAGGTCGCTGGCTCCTGCCTCCTGGTGGGATCCTGAGAGTGCTTCCCGGGACTGCTGTGAGGCACTGAACTAGTCCTGGCACAGCCTGAGCGTCCTGCCCTCTGCCCCTCCCCTGGTCCTGGAGCCCCTCCAAGCTGGTTAGGCTGGTCCCGGGACCAGTTGCTCCCTTGGGGAGGAAGATAGGTGCTAACAGGGGACCCCGGCTGCTCCAAGTCCCTAGAGGTCGGCTCCTGTGAGGAGAGGTACACTCCTGCTCCCCTGTGAGGATCCTGTGTCCATGTGGTTGTCCTGTTCACCATGGCCAAGACTTGGGGTCATCCTTTGGTGGCCCAGGTCAGCCCTCTGTCTGTTTCTCTGCCCAGCAGTCTCCAAGCCCTCCCACCAGCAGAAGGAAGAGCAGCCTGTGCCCCCAGGCAGGGCTGAAGCCAGGCTGGTTGTCCCCAGGGCTGCGTGGTTCCACCACACCAGCTCCTGCAGGGGCCCTGCTGGCACTGCCGACAGCGGCTGGGAGCCGAGCGGGAGGTGGCTAATTCCCTCTCCCGCAGCTGCCAGGCCTGTCTGGGCTGCTCTCTAAGTGCCAGCAGGCTCAGTGCAGCTTCCGGCCTGCTCTTCTCTAGAAGAGGAGTCTAAAGAGGGCCAGCAGGCCAGCTCTCCCCGAGATGGCTGTGCAGCCCCGGGCCTGTGGCTAACCCTCTCTACACCCCACTTTTCCCATCTCTAGGATAGTGTTCCCCACATGCAGGCAGGAATGAGAATTTCCATGTCTTCCCTGGCTCAGAGCAAGAGTGGGTTGTCTCAGTGTTTAATGAATACCTGTGAGCGTGCAGAGTCAGACCTTGGGTCACCTCACCAGCCCTACCCCTTTCCTGGGCCTCAGTTTCCCCCTGGGTCCCAGCCTTTGTCCAACTTCAAGCTGCCCCACTCCTTTGAGACCTCACCAGGAGCGTCTCTGCGGACGGCTCTGTCAGTGGGACGTCAAGAATGCAGACTAGGAGGAGGACCCCTGTGGCCACGGCTGGCCTCTCTCAAGTCACCAAGGGCTGACCAGCTGGTTCTGACTGCTCCAAAGGGAGCCTGCCCATTTGGCTTAGCAGCATTAGGGCCGTTGGCCAAGGGTGGACCTGGGACAGGATGCCCAAGCCTAGTCCAACCAGAGACCAAGCACCTGCTGCTCACCACCACCTTCCTGACTCCTGCTCAGGAACCCCGGGGCAAGGGGCCCGTTTCACAGGTGAAGAAACCCAGGCCCAGAGAAGCAGTGGCCATGGTGAGGCTTGTGGCCAAGAGTTTCCCTTGGCTTCTGCTGCCCCCCTCAGCCCATCAAATCATGGCTTATGGTGATTTTTTTTTTTTTTTGGTGTCCAAATTTGATCCTCAGTAAATTTTTTTTCTAATTTTTCATCCATGGAAAATATGAGAAATCCAGAAAAGTATAAAATTTTTTTTCAATTACCCAGCATTCCACCACCCAGGCGTAACAAATTGACATATCCTGCCTTCCACGATGCTCTGCAGCAGTCGCTCACTTAGACAGGATTACGCCACGCTCGCCGGCACGCGCCTCCGCCTACGTCCCCTCAAGGCCTGGTTTCTGGACAGATCGGAGTCTTTGGTGGTGGAACTGGCCCCTCTTAGCAGGGATGACCTCCCACTTTGGCTTCAGAGCCAGCAAGTCAGCCCTACAAGCCCCTCAGCTGGGATGGCCACACAGCAATCCTCTGGGGCTGGTGTATGTCCTGCTGTCCTCCAGGAGGGCAGCCCCAACAGGCCAGGCCAGACCTGGGCTCTTTCCCACACCACATTGTCCAGTCTAGACTGGCCTTCTTCTTATGGCCATAGACTATGGCCTTATATCCGGGGAGCCTAGCCAGATCCCAGGGGAGGTGAAGTGGGTCCTGATTCTCTAACCACCCCCAGGTCCCACAGCCCACGGGACAGTCCTGCAGAGAAAAGGGACCACCTGTCTCTCCAGCATCCTGTCTCTGACCAGTGAGTGGGTCTTGCACACTGGAAGTAGCCAGACGGGAACCCAGTTCCGTAACAGGACAAGCACCGGCAGCCCCAGAGCAGGGGAGGGGACACACTGTTCCACTGTATGACTCCCTCTGAGGCCTGCAGGCAGGGGCCTGCCACACTGGGACTCAATGCCACAGACCCTTTGGAGTGACCGGAGAGTTCTGACAGGTGCACCGGCTGGGACCCCTCTTTGAGGTTCCTGAATCCCTCGGCCTCCGCCACCTTGAAGACAGGAGTCTTCCCCTGGAGTGCACCACACATGGATTTCCCATCTCTTAGGGTCTCAGCGAGGGCCGTGGTTGGTGCCCGATGGTGGCCCCGCTGGCCTCCCCGTGCCCCCAGCCTGTCCCACCTGTTCTGAGCAGCTCTGTCCTCTTCGCCCACAGGCTGCGCAGCCCCTGGGTGCCCTCGTGCCTCGGGCAGCCCCGAGTCCTGCAGGGCCGCCTGACCAGGTCCTCACCCTCGCTCTGGGACAGGTAACACACCAGTTGTCTCCCCACATCCCATTCATTGGTGTCTGCGTCTGTCCCCGGACATCCATCCCATGTCTGTGTCTGACTCCCCAAGACAGATGAGGAGGCTGAGAGAGAAGAAAGGTCTCCCAGGCCAGAACATTGGTCTCCCAGAACATTGTCACCACACCCGGGCTCTGACCTTGGGCTAGGGCTCCTGTGAGTGGCCAGGAGTGGCCCTCGTGAGGGGAGACGTCTCCAGGACTCTTCCTGTCCAGGGACTGCTATGGCAGGGGGGAACCCCTGAGCCCACTCTCGCTGCCAGGTTAGGCACAGCTCCATGGTCCCAGATCAAAGCGAGGTGGCTCCGCAGGTGGCAGGCTCCACAGGGCTGGCACAGGAGGGTGGCCCCAACCTGGAGGACCCGACTGGCTGCTGCTAGCACGGCACCCTCCCCTCCACACGCGTTGGCTAAGGCCTATTTCTGGACACTGGGGACCTGCCAGGCCATACCTTGACCCAAGGCAGGACCCCGGGCCCCGGCACTGCCCCCAGGTCTCAGTGACCTGGAGGCCCTGCTGCCACAGTGCCAGCCCAGCCTTATGCCAATGGCTTATGCCCACCAAACGGGGGCCAGTGACAGACCTGCGCCCATGTGTGGGCAACTAACCCCATTTACAGTTGTGGAAACTGAGGCAACAGCCAGGTGGGGCTCGGGTTAGTGCTCTGAGAGGGAGGACAGGAGGCAGGGTTGTGGCAAGACCCAGGTGACCACCCAGTATCCTCCTGTCCAGAACTTCTAAAGAAACTGAGCCTCTAGGATTGGAGTCAGCTGTGGAGGGCAGCAGAAGGGTCCCATGGCCCTCCCCACGTGGGGGTGCAGGTAGCAGTCAACAGGTGGTCTTTGTGTCTGCACTGGATAGTTGAGTGAGAGGCACAGGGGTCCGTTGGCTGCTGGACACAGGGTGGGTGGAGCCCAAGAGACTCGGCTGGAGATTAGACCAGGAGGGGTCCGGGTGGGGCTAGATGTAGACATTTGGCCTCCAATGGCCCCGGGCTTTGCAGAACAGCCTGGGCGAGGGCGGTGTCTGTGGGTGTGGTGGAGCCAGAGGGAGGGAGAGGAAGACGTGGTGGGGACACCAGTGTGGGTGTCCTCACAGTGGCAGGGGCTGGGAACCATGTCAGGAGCCTGAGTTGGAGGCTCCTGCAGCAAGGGACGTGGAGGTGGCCACGGTGTGGGCTCTGCAGCCAAGGACTGGCCTGGGTGCAGCTTGAGGTGGCGGGCATGAGGGGCTGGGGTGCCATGAGGGAGGAAGTCACCCAGTGTGCAGAAGGTCCCTGGGAGGCCCAGGTGAACTGAGGCTCCGGAGATGCGCCCTGGGGTGGCCTGCCGTCGCCCGCGTTCTTTTTCCCCCCCTCTCCACTGTGGGCCAGAACACTGCTCCCTGCTGTAAAGTCCCAGGGTCGGGTGGGGAAGAGGGCAAGCACACCGAGTGGCTGGGGGACAGGGGCTGGCCAGCCCCAATGACAGTAGTGCCCAAGAGCAAGGTAGCCAAGATGGGGGAGGGAGGGCAACCAGCTCTGAGGAGTCCCATGGAAACCAGGCCCCTGAAATGGGCCAGGGCTGGGTGAGGGCACAGTGAGCTGCTGGCCTCAGAAGAATGAGGCCCCAGAACTGGTCAGAGAGTACTCAGGGGAGGCTGGGGGAGGGGTCAGGAGTGAGGCCTGACATGGCCACTGGAGCAATGGACAAGGCCCTCCCTCTTCTCGAGGAGGCCGAACCTGTAACAAGAGCTGCTTCAGGGAACATCCAACCTCAGGGGCTGCTGCCTGCCCCAAACCAGACACTGTCTACAGTGGGGAGCCCTGGTGATGTGGGCACCCAGGAAGTCTGCTGCCCTGACGGGAAGAAAATAGGGGCAGTGGGGCCAGCTGGAGTCTGGTCACAGGATGCTAGAGGCTGGGCAGTCCAGGAAGGCTGCCTGGAGGAGGCGGGCAAGACCGTGGAGCAGCAGCCAGCCTGCGTGGGCTCCCCCAGCTGGGGGCCTTGCCTGAGAGCTTCCCCTGTTATTCTGTCCCCTCTTTGGGGGAATTGACTCTTGGGAAGACCCACCCCGCCCTTCTGTGAAATTTTCAAGCATGTAAGCAACTCTTTATTTTTATTTATTTTTAAAAATGTAGACCTGGGGAGGAATCCAATAATGCTTAAAGGAGGCTCATGGGTGCAAGGCGTGTGGTTCACTTGCAGGCCAGAGACTGAGGAAGCTCCTGATGGGGCCGGGGAAGCGGTCCTGTTCCTGGGAGTCGGAGAAACCCTCCCCAGTCCCTGCACATCCCTCCCTTGCTGGGTTTGGGTCGGGGAGGTCCTGATTACACAGGCTCTTGCCCATATCTGAGCAGTCGAGGCTCCTGGCCCTGCGGGGTCTCCAGCATGACACCTGACCCCTTCTAGCCCCCCACGGTCAGGATGTTGCTGTGCACCCCACATCAAACCTGCCAGAAGTTGCCCCCCTCCAGAGCACTGGTGCACAGGCCCCTACCCTGACCCCGGGGAAAGCAGGGTGGCCCCTGCCCTTCTGGGAGCTCACGACCAGCTCCTGGGGCAGGTCACCCACTAGCCCTCGCCTGGTGCCCAACTTTACTTCAAGTAATCCTTGTCTGACGGCTCAGAAGGGTAGCTGGTGTCTTGGGCGGTGCCGTGAGCAAGCAGGTGGCCTCCTGGGGAGCCCCCAGTCTGTGGGAAGGTGGAGCCCCAAGAGCGCCCCTGGCTTCAGGAAGGCTTCCCGAGGGGACCTGAGCAGGCAGGGCACTGGGTCCTGCCTGGGCATAGGGTGTCACCCCAAACCTCTCTTTGGCCCAGAGAGGTAGACACAGTATTCTGGGGCCACCCGTCAATCAGGGGAAGGGAAGTCAGGTCTCAAGCATGACACTGCCGACTCGGCCTTGGCATCCCTGGCCAGCTCCCAAGGGAGGCCTGGGGGCCAATGGTGCTCCCTGTACCAGGGCCCTTTAAGCCACCCACACACACTGGCAAGGTTCTGGGGTCAGTTTCCACTCCAAGTCCATAGGGACTTACTTGCAGCAGAGGCACTTGGCTCAGAGCCCCTGACCCCTGGGGCTGGAAGTCCTCAGTGCCGCTGCTGGGGGCAACTGTGTGTGTGCACGAGTGAGAGAGTGCGACCTGGGCGTGGCATGCACCCATGGCACACATCAGCTGGTCAGCTGCCCGCGTGGCCCGGCTGCCCGCTCAGTGCGCGGCCGGCCACCGCGGCATGTCGTTGTAGTGCGCTGCAGGAGCAGAAGGGAGAGTTGCGCAAGCGGCTGTCCTACACCACGCACAAGCTGGAGAAGCTGGAGACGGAGTTCGACTCCACGCGCCACTACCTGGAGATCGAGCTGCGGCGCGCGCAGGAGGAGCTAGAGAAGGTCACCGAGAAGCTGCGCAGGTGAGGCCCCTGGGGGAGCTGCCGCAGGAGGCTCCTGCCTGCCCAGGTAGAAGTCAGACCTTGTGCCCAGAGCAGCAGGCCAGGACCTGAACACAGGGTCAGCTGGTAGCAGGGACAGGCTCCGCCCCGCGCCCTCTCCATGCCCAGCTCCACTCCGAGCCCCTCACTCCTGTTCATTTTGGGTGTGGCGGCAGCACGACAGAGACACAGTCTCCAGAGGCGACTGGCCCAGCAGGATCCCCAGTGGCACCCTGGGTCCTGATGGGGACGCGGTGTCTGGGCCTGGAGAGGAGACAGATGCAGAGTTGGGGCCCCTCCTGGAGCGGCTGGGGCTGGACGCTGGCCAGCGGCACCACTGCTCCTGTAAGATGGCGTCTCTCACCCCTCATGCACTTTCGCATCTGACACAGAGAATGGAAGCGAAGGCCAGCTTTGCTGTTGGCTTAGTTTGTTTTAAATATTTATAGAGAACCAGCTGGTGCTGTCCTGAGGGGGGCTTGCCAGGAGGGCTGTTTGTCCCTCCCTGAATGGCCCCATCCTGCTGAGCCTTCCGATGTCACCATCTTGTTGTGTGGAAACCAAGCCTGGCCAGACCCCCATCACGGCCGCTGCCACTGCCTGCCTCATAGCCGCCCTTCTGTGTCAGTTCCCCTGGCAAGCTGGGGCCGAGGACGCAACCCAAAGGTTGTGTAGAAGATGGAAGCTTCCCCCCAACCCTGCCACTGGAGGGGATCCACAGAGCCTCCACCTGAGGCTTGCCTCCACTCCTCCTTTCTTCTAGACTCGCGCCCTGGGTCCATCCCATGCCTTCAGTCTCTTCCTTACTAACATGCAGCTGCGCTGTCAGCTGTGTCGCGAGGACTGTAAGAGCTATGTGAAGATGTGAGCAAGCTGGCGGGGACAGAGGACAGGACCACAGATCCTGCTGGGGTGGGGGCAACAAGGCCTTGGCCTGGCCTAGGGAAGCCTGGAGGAGACTCAGCCTTAATGAGGTGGTTTCTGCTCTGGGAGGAAGCACACATTCAACCAAGGCGGGCAAACAGGACGGGAAGTTCAGCTCCAGCCTGCTCAAAAGGCGCGAAGCCACAGGGGTGCGGGAAGGCTGGACCTTGCATAGCAATGACTCTTTCCCTCTTGCTGCAGGATTCAGAGCAACTACCTGGCACTGCAGAGAATCAACCAGGAGCTGGAGGGCAAGCTGTACCGCATGGTGAGGGTCACCCCGCTGCCACTCCCCATCCAGCACTGCATCCTGGGGCCTGTGACTCTGAGCACCTGGGAGAAGTGGCCCCTGGCATCCCCTGGCTCATTCAGGAGCTGAGTCCCAGATCTCGCTTCCTGATGGCTCCGGGACTGGGTTGGTTCTACCCCTGTCACTGAGTGGGAGGCACTGCCAGGACAAGGACAGGACTGGGCCAGGTTGCCCGGGCTGCGCCAGCATCAGGTCAAGCAGCCTGCCTGGCTGTGTAAGCAGAGCTGCAGGACAGAGGGCCTGCGCTGGGATGGAGTCAGCTCAGCTGCCCAGGGACTGAGGGGAGCCCTCCTTCAGGTGGTGCGAGAGTCTGAGGTGGGCTTGAGCGTTAACCCACCCTTCCTGGGGACATTCCCCAGGCCCGGCCCTGGTGGGGGTTGAGACCCTTGAAACCCACATAGCACCTGGTGTTAGCCTTTTCTCTGTGTGTTGGCAGGAGCAATAGCAACGGTGGCCCTGGGCATCTGGTCTTGACTCTAAAGAGAAGGCATCTGCGACTCCAGCTTGGGGGTCAGGACAGGTTCCTTATAGTTTGGCTGGTCTGGCTCTGCTGAGACCCTGGACAGGCCCCTTTTCTTCTGAGCCTCAGTTTCCTGATCTGTCGAGTGAGGTGGGCAGGCTTTGTGAGGCACAGAACACAAGCCATCCCCAGACTCCTGGGAAAGGATGCTGTGGGCCTGTGTTGCAGATAAGAACCGAGGCTCGGCAGGTAGTGACTTGCCAGGGGTCATCGGGCTTGTCAGTGGTGCAGCTGGCCTCAAACCTGGGTCAGTCCATGTTCCTAACCCCTACAACCTGGGCCCCCAGCACCATGTCATTCAGGCTCTTGGGACACAGGAGGCCTAATCCAACAGGCCTTGAGCTAGCCTGCTAGACCTGACCACTGACCACCTCCTTCCATTTCCCTGTCCCGCAGGGCCAGCACTATGAGGAAGAGAAGCGTGCACTGAGCCATGAGATTGTCGCCCTCAACAGTCACCTCCTGGAGGCCAAGGTGACCATCGACAAGCTGTCAGAGGACAACGTGAGTGCCGTGTGCATTTGGCCCACGGAGGGCAGTGGGACATCTGAGGGGACTTCCTGGGAGCACTGGCAGTTGGGGCCTTTTTGACTTGGAGGAGCTCCAAGCCAAGGGGCTTGGCCCTAACCTGGCACAGGGGACAGGTGGCTGGGCAAAGTGTTCAGGACTTGGAGGAGTGCTGGTGCAGTTGGGAAAGGTCAGGTGGGCTGAGGCATCCCCAAGAGACCCTCTGCTGGGAGGGCTTGAGTTAGGGAGGGAACGGGAGGCCAGGTTATCCCACCCAGGGTGAAGCTTCCTGGCCCCAGGTGGGGTGGTGGCACTCAGGACTCTCGCCCCAGTGTTGCCCAAAGGCCTGTCCTCAGAGGCCCCATGAGATGGGTGGGCACTCTCCAGCGACCATGCTCTCAGCATTGATGGGCCCCTTGCCAGATGTAGCTATCCTGAGACTTTGATATGAACAGCACGGGCAAAAAAAATTACACCCCTCCCTCCACCCACATGGAGTTGACATCAGAGAGGGGACGGCAGACAGTAGCAGTAACTACACAGCCCTGGAGATGGTAGAAGGGCTCTGCTGCAGAGAGGAGAGGAGCCAGGAGCAGGACAAGGAGCTGCCAGTGGCAAGGTCTGCAGACTTGGCTGGGTGTTTCTGGAACAGGCTGCTTGAGCCAGGACCTGAAGGCAGGGGTGGGGGGAGGCCCTGCAGATACCTGGAGAGGACTTCTTCCAGCTGAAGGGCCATGCTGCCCAGCCCAACCTAGAGAAAAGCTAAGGGGCTGTTGCAGCTGGGAGTGGGGGGGCACAGCCTCACTGCACAGGGTCCATCAGGAATCTGGACTGTAGTCTCAGGCAGGGGCCCCCGAAGTCTCCTGAACAAAGAGGCAGTGTGCCTGCACTTACAGTTCCACTGGGCTGGTAGCTAGTGAGGACACAGTGCAGGGGCTGCTGAGGGCAGCGGTAGGAAGGTCAGAGGAGACCAAGCCATAATCCACAGGACAGAGAGCAGTGGCAGCCAAGATGGTGGCAGGCAGGTGGGGAAAAGGGCTCATTCCTGGCAACATTTTGAAGGTAGAGGCAACAGGACGAGCCCTTGGTGTGGCGTGCAGGCAGGTGATGAGTCTAGTGAGCCCCAGGGATCACAGCCTGAGCAAGGCATGGCCACCTGTGGAGGGGTTGGTGTGGATGCAGCGAGGCTTGGATTTGAGAAGTGCACAGCACATCCAAAGAGAACGGTCTTGAGGGTGGTTGGGTACCAGGGTGTGGAGCTGGATTCAAGCCTGTTGCGTGTGGGTTGAGGTCACAAGGCAGTGCATGCAGGGGAGGAGAGGGGAGGCTACAGGCCACAGGGACTCTCCAAAGTTAGTTAATAAGTTGGAACTAGCAAGGACAACTGAGAGTGAGTGCTAGCAAGAGGGAGACACCCGGCATTCGTGGTGGCCCAAGCCACATGAGGAGGAAGTGGTCCTCAGCAAGCTGGCCAGCTGGGTGACAGCTGCTGAGAGCTCAGGTAAGAGGAGGCCAAGAGCAGCCTGGGATCTGGGGACTCTGGGATTGGAGGCTGAGTGGAGTGGGGACTCTGATAGTGAAGAGGCAATTCCAGAGGTGGGGACAGGAGGCCCCAAGCCCAGACCACTCCTACACGCAGTGTGGCTCTCGCAGCAGGCATAGAGAACATGGTATGGGGAGACCTTTCCTCAAGTGCAAGGCCAGGCCCTCTGTGTAAGTTGCCACCCCTTCTGGCACATCTCTGTGTGGGTAGTGCATGTGTGGAAACTGAGGCACAGCCAGCTTCAGTGACCAGATCACCAGCAGTGGCTCACAGGCAGAGCAGAGCTCGGGCTCAAGGCCACCGGGTCCTTTCAACTGCACCAGGCTCTTAGTAGGTGCAGCACCCCCTCCTCCCTCTGCTTGAGAAGGCCGTGGCTTCTCCCCTGAGAGCCAGCAACTGTTGCCCCTTGGGAAGAACCTGAACCTGACACCCTCTGACATGGTCAGTGCCCAGCCAGGGGCCCTGCCAGTGTTATGTCCTCACTCTGGGGACCATGTACATGGCAGAAACTGTCCCAGGCCTCCAAATGGCATCCCCTACTGGCTGGGCTGGTGGGGGTGCAATGGCAGAGCCAGGCTAGCTGGGCAGTACCAGAGCTGGCTGCTCTATGAGGCAACCTCACAAGGGCCTCACAGGGGCCAGTTCTCAGTTCTCACTCAATTTTACTATTCCTAGGAGGCCCAGGGAGTGTGGAGAGGGGTTTGCAGACCTAGGTTCCCTCCACTATGCAGGCCAGTTGGGGCACCAGCCTCAGTGAGGGTGGGGGTGCAGAAGGCTCCAGGACATGGGGGAGGCAGGAAGGAGTGCCCATGCTGTGCACCACCTTGCCTGAACTGGTCCTGGCCAAGCTGGGCTTTGGCAGCAGCCCTGGCCAGGAGCACCACAGGGCAAGGCAGGTAGATGGTCAGAACCCTGCTATGGGTCTGGAGTGGGTGAAGGCCTCTGCAGCCACAGGCACATGCAACAGAGATTTTCAAAGTCAGCCAAATCCCCTTAAGTCCTACTGTTTGCATCTGTTTTTAGCTCTGGAGGCTGACCAGTCCCTGTCTGTACCCAGAGTCTCACACCTTTCCCACTCGAGCCCAGCCCCCCCAGCCAGCCCCATGGCCAGGCAATACTCCGAGTGGGGCATGAGCAGCAAGTCTGAGACTAAGGGTGGCAGGGGCTGGGGAACCACTCTCATTCCTGCCTGTCACTGCCCACCAGGTCATCTTGGAAGGACCCCCGGGGGCTGAGGGGCAGGGAGAGCAGACCTGGTGGACAGGCCTGGGGCCTACACTTCCACTGCCCCACCTGTGGGAGGTTTTGTCTCAGCAGGGCCCCGGGCCACGTCTGGGCAGCAGCAGGACTGTCTGGTAGGACCCTGCACATACCAGCAGCTCCAGGTTCAAAAAGGCCCTCACCTGCGGGCAGGAACGCAAAGCCCAGAGGGATGAGGCCGGGAGTCCGTCCTTGTCCTGCCAGCCACAGAGCCGGGTCTGCCCGCCTTCCCGTTGCTCACTGGCCACTCGGCGCTGGTCAGGGCAGCAGGGACCTGCCAGGGCGAGCTGCGCCAAACGCCTTCTCTTGTCTTCCAGGAGCTCTATAGGAAGGACTGCAATCTAGCGGCCCAGCTGCTGCAGTGCAGCCAGACCTACGGCAGGGCCCATAAGGTGTCCGAGGTAACGTGACCCCGCCCCAGCCAGGCCCACCCTGTCCCAGGACCACTCTGGGCTCCTTTTGGGCCGGCCCCACCCCGAGGCCACCCCCACCCTTGAGGAGGAAGATGCCGGGTGAGCCTGAGCCCCTCGACCTCCTCACACCTGCGGGTCCTGGCCTCACTGTCCCCACGCATCCTGCCTGCCCTGGCTTGGACAGCCTGTGGCCCTCTCCAGGACTCCCTGTACCCACCCCTCTTCCTCTGCTTCCTCTGGGGCTGCTCCTGTTTCTGCTGCAAGCCCCCATCCAGAGCGTGCGCACTTCAGAGCAGCCCTGGGGACTGGGCACAATGACAGTCCCACTTTAGAGACAAGAAACACGCCTCAGGGAACAGGACTGACCAAGGGCCATGGTGAGCAGAGAGCAGACCTGGACTCAGAACCAGGCCTGTCAGGTGCAGAAGCAGACGGGACAGAGCCCACCCACCCTCAAGCCTCCCACCCAGGCCCTTGTCCGATTCCCCTTTCCCCTGGGCCCAGGCCACACCTGACACGCTCACAAAATAGATCAAACAGTAGCGGGACATCGCCCACTGGCACGGGAGCCACAGGGTGCGTGACCCTGGCCTCAATCTTTGTTGCATCTGTTTCTGAGTCTGTCTCCTTCGGCAGCACAGGGTGGGGCTGGGGTAGGTGCCCAGAACCCATGGGCCTGAGAGCAGGTCAGCCCCTGGGCAGCAGCAGGGAGTGAGGCCCAAGCCAGGCCCATCCCAGCTTCTCTGGGCTGACTCTGGGCTCTGTCTACCCTGCCGGGAATGGGTGGGGCAGGTAGAGATGACCAGGGAGCCCCAGGTGCTGACAACAGCCGTGTGCTTGGGCACTTGTTCAACCCGGCATCCTGGGCCCTGGCTCCTGCGGCGTGATGTCCCTTTTCACGTGTCTGTCAGCCTGCCTGTCGGTCACGCTTGACCGTGGTCCTCAGCCTCAGGGCCAGGGCTGGGCTTCCGTGCTGACTGTGATCTCGTCCCCACCCTCCCCTCCCCTCACACCTGTTCCAGCTGCCCTCGGACTTCCAGGAGCGCGTGAGCCTGCACATGGAGAAGCTCGGCTGCAGCCTGCCCTCCCAGCTCTGCCACCCGGCCTACGCCGACAGCGTCCCCACCTGCGTCATCGCCAAGGTGCTGGAGAAGCCTGACCCCGCCAGCCTGTCCTCCCACCTGTCAGATGCCTCGGCCCGTGACCTGGCCTTCCGCGATGGAGTGGAGAAGCAGGCCCCGCGGCCCCCATACAAAGGAGACATCTACTGCAGCGACACAGCCCTCTACTGCCCGGAAGAACGGCGGCGTGACCGGCGACCCAGCGAGGACGCACCCGTGACAGATGTGGGCTTCCTGCGGGCCCAGAACTCCACGGACAGTGCTGCAGAGGAGGAGGAGGAGGCCGAGGCAGCGGCCTTCCCCGCTGGTTTCCGGCGTGAGGCCTTCCCGGGCTACGCGGGCTCGCTGCCCACGTCCAGCTCCTACTCCAGCTTCAGTGCCACGTCGGAGGAGAAGGAGCACGCGCAGGCCAGCACGCTCACCGCCTCTCAGCAGGCCATCTACCTGAACAGCCGAGACGAGCTCTTCAACCGCAAGCCGCCAGCTGCCACCTACGAGGGCAGCCCTCGCTTCGCCAAGGCTGCGGCCGCGGCGGCAGCCCCACTCGAGGCTGAGGTGGCCCCAGGATTCAGACGGACAGTGTCTCCTTACCCAGCTGAGTCCTTCCGCTTCCCAGCCACCCCGGGCCCCCAGCAGGCCCTGATGCCCCCAAACCTATGGAGCCTGCGGGCCAAGCCGGGGTCCGCCCGGCTCCCTGGAGAAGACATTCGGGGTCAGTGGCGGCCCCTGAGCGTAGAGGATATTGGTGCCTACTCCTATCCAACCAGCACCGCGGGCCGGGCCTCGCCCTGCAGCTTCTCCGAACGCTACTACGGTGGCAGCGGGGGCAGCCCAGGCCAGAAGGCTGAGGGCCACGCCAGCCCCCTCTATGCCACCTACAAGGCCGACAGCTTCTCAGAGGGCGACGACCTCTCCCAGGGTCACCTGGCAGAGCCCTGCTTCCTGCGGGCAGGTGGCGACCTGAGCCTCAGCCCCAGCCGATCTGCTGACCCGCTCCCTGGCTATGCGCCCAGCGAGGGAGACAGGGACAGGCTGGGGGTGCAGCTGTGTGGAGCTGGCAGCAGCCCTGAGCCTGAGCACGGCTCCAGAGACTCCTTGGAGCCTAGCTCCATGGAGGCTTCGCCGGAAATGCACCCTGCCGCCCGCCTCAGCCCCCAGCAGGCCTTCCCGAGGACTGGTGGCTCGGGGCTGAGCCGCAAGGACAGCCTCACGAAAGCCCAGCTCTACGGAACCTTGCTCAACTGACCGCTGCGTAAAGGCCGCGGCCGGGGCCTACGCCCCCTACTGCCCCACCCATGTGGAAGCCAAGAGGGGCAGTCCCTCCCCAGACACCCACACTCCCCAGCCCCCACCAAGGAGGACTCTGTGCTCCCGACACCCCCTCTTCCACAACCCAGTAGAGTCTGAGACGGGGACCCTCGCTCCCCATCCTGTCCGTCCACCCCAGCCTCGTTACTATGGAACTCCCACTTGGAATTTCCCACTTAGAACGTTGTCACGCACTGTCACCCCCACCCGAGGTGAGCATTCCCCTTTTATAAAGTGAAACTATTTTTATAGAGAAAAAGGGTCTTTCTAACGCGCTTGGCCCCAGCAGCCTGGCCGGGCAGCCTTGGCGTTCTCCACACAAAGCTCTTACTTCTCGGGCAAGGTGCGTGGGGCCTGCCCCTGAAAAGGGAAAGACCAAGCCCCACACGTGAGGAGACACCCAGCAAGCCGATGACAAGGGGACCCCACCGCTCTGTCCATGGGGAGGGGCAGTGAACCCATTCGGGATGTGAAATGTTTTGACTCTTTCTCCCAGTGTGGCCAGCACAACACCCTGAGCTCTTCCGTGGCCCCTAGTCCCAAGTGGGGCCGGGACGACGTCCCAGTATGGCCGGTGCTCCCTCCTCCCCACCCTGCTCCCAGCGCCACCTTACTCTACCTCAGATGTATGAGGCCCCCGACCCCTGCTCTGTGTGCCGTGATGCATGCCTGTCTGTCAGTGTTGTGTTTTGCATTCATCAATAAAAGACACAAGTGGGAAGTACTTGCGTGTGACTTATTTTTTCCCCCCTTGACCTCCATGCAGCCAAGATGGGGCCTTGCCTGCTCTCAGCAGTCCTCCTCAGCAGTTCAAGTTCTTCCCTCCTGCACAGCTTTGGCCCTGCCGTCCCACGACCTAACACGGCTCCTCTCGCGCCTTGCTGCTCCCATCTAAGCAGACTCTCAAACTCCCCTGAGCGTGGCTCTGCTGATGGCAATCTATTATCATCTGAGGATGCCCACTTTACCGCTGCCCCAGTGTTGTTTTTGCCTGGGACAGACGCTAGCAGGTCTTTCCTGCAGTACCCTAGCTCCCATGGGGATGAGAAGCTCGCCATTAGCCTGGAAGCTGTGTTCTTCATAGCCACTTAGCTTCTCTTTGGCTTTTAGCTTTCTGCAGTTCCCCAAAGGTACACCTGGGTGCCTTTCTTAGGACTCACAGGGAGTCTTGAACCTGTAGATTGGTGTATTTTATCAATTCTGGAAAAACCACCCTATTGTTTTTTAAAAATATATTTCTCAGTCCATTTTCTTTCTCTCTGGGCTGCCAGCAGGCCTGTAGCAGCCCTCCAACTGTACCCCCTGCTCTCCCTTAACCATTTCCCTAATTTTGTCACCTTGCTGTAATCCACATGATGTCTTCCACTGATTCTGTGTTCATTCAGCTGCCAAATAACCACCGAGTTTTTAATTTCAATTGCCTGTGTTTTCCTTTTCCAGACATTGTTTGTTTCTCCTGCAAATCACTGTGCTACCATCTATGACTCCCTATTCCCTGGAACTGATTTCAAACTTGTGTCTGCTCCTTCCATCATGTGGAATCACGTGGGTCTATTTCTTTGGTTCCTGCTCATGTTGCCATGTTTCTTTATGTTCCTGGTTATCTTTGATGCATGCTCATTCTTGTCCTTGAAAGTGTACTAGGGGGGTTCTGCCAGGCCTAGGACAAAAGTTTCCTCCTCCAGAGGAGTATCATATCTGCTTCTCCAGGTGTTGGGAGGCCCTTCTCATTGGAGACCTCAACAAGGTTCATGCCTGAAGTCCTGCCCCAGCCTCCAAAGGCAGCCACAGCTGGAGCTACCACTGCCTTGTTCCAGAGCACTTCAGATGGTTGGGCACCTGCTCAGGGCTGGGTGGGGATTGTGGCTAGGAACCTACACTTGCCTTTCCAAAACCTCCTGGCTCTAAGTTGGCTCAGCAGGACACTGGGACTCCTAGGTGCTTATAGCTCTGGCCCACATCTTCTCTCCCCAAATTCCCTGAGCTGGGGCTTGGTGTTTCCCTGTTCTCCCCAGTGCTGAACCCAGCTGTCCAGCTATGCTGACCACAGGGACTTGGTTCCCCTGGGAGGCATCTGATATAACAGGGCTTCAAGTACAGAGGGCCCAGGGCTTCAGGTACAGAGCACCCATTGTTATCCAAATAGGGGAGGGTTCTCACTGTTCCAAGAGAAAGAGTGAAAGGGGTCAGCAGGAGTGACTCCTGCTGGGTGCTGAGGGATGAGTAAAAGTTCGCAGATGTGACAGCTGGGAGTTCCAGGAGCTGCTGATACTCCCAGGGCCTCCCCAAGGGCTCAGGCCTTCTGACCTGTTGCCACAGCTAGATGGCTGCTGCTGGAAGATCCCATCTATCCAGGCAGCCAGGCCAGCCAGGCTATCCAGGGTGAGACTCCCTCCTCCTCGCCTGCTCCTCTGCCTCATCTTCAGTGAGGTTCCTCCTGTGCACACACCACCCACCCACCCATCCATGTCTCAACCTCCACTCGACAGAGCACAGCTGGGCTCTGCAGCCAGCGGGCCATGCCGCCCCAGAAAGCACCAGGTCCCCTCTGGCCCAGTTTCCCCTTCTGCAGCCTGAGGATGCTGATCACCTCCAGGGCCCCTCTAGACAGTAGGCAGCCCCACTTTATGGAGGATCTAGCAGGACTGGAAGTCAGGCACAATCCTTAGGGTCAGGCAGCCCTGGCCCCTCAGAGACAGCTTTCTCAGTGATTGGTGGGGATCATGGTCACACTGCAGGAGCTGTGAACCCAAGTCCCACTCAGAATAAAAGCCGCAGCCACAACCGGTGCACAGGCTAGCAGGCAGCCAACAGCCTGCACAGGTATCTCGGGATGAAGCTGCTGCTCCCAGCACAGATTTGGAGCTGGCATTTGGGGTTTTAAAGGTAGATAAAGGTGAGCGCTCAGCCCAGGAAGGTGGGTGGAGAGGAGCCCACGCTCTTCACTCCTGCTCTGTTTCCTAAATTTAGCTTTCTTATTTTAAAATTGCAAATGGTGAACTCCCCAACACCTTGCCAAGGATCAAAGTCAGTCTTTGCTCTTTGGAAGAACACACTTGGAAAAGGAAACAGACAGGAGCACCAAGCACACCCGACTGTTCTTCCCAACTCCACAGCCCCACAGCCAGAGGCGCAGGCCGGCAGCAGCTCCCACACCTGCATTCCCGTCCCAGAGGGATGGCCCTAAGAAGCCATCACAGTGGGCTTCCAGTTGTCCCCCTGCCCCAGGAGGGTCACAACTTTGGTTCTGTTTGTCACAACTTTGGGTCTGTTCAAGCTTGGAAAAGAAAGGGACTTCAGAGGTAGAGGTGTGGATGGCATTTCAGGGAGATGAGCTACAAAGCCCTCACCTCTGCCTCATGTGCCCTGCTCCTGCCAACTGGCCCACTTTACAGATGAGGAAACAGGCTCAGAAGCAGAGCACCTGCACAGTCCCATGCAAGCAGGGACTGCCTTAGATCTGAGCAAGTCTCCCGGTCATAGTGCTGTGCGGTCTTGGTGAAGGGGAAGTGGTGCCAAGGCACATTCATGCTGAGGCCTGACTCAGCCTCGGAGCAATTCAGTGATGATGCTAATAGAGAGGACACCGTCAGCAGAGAGTGGTGGACATCCCCGTCACAAGACAATCCAGGAAAGATGGAAACCCAGGGTAGTGCTGTGTGTAAGGCAGGCACCTAGGACCCAGGACCTGGGGCTGGCAGTGAAGTGGGGGCAGGAAAGGAGGTGCGAGCAGCCCCAAGAAGGCAAGGCCTCCCTTCAACTATGTCCAGTCTGCTTATATACCACTCCTCATCCAGCAAATGCGCCTGGACCTGGGGAGACACTCATGAAAATATCCATGGGGTCCTGGGTTTGGTGGGGAATCACATGGAAAAGAAAGGGATTTCAGAAGTAGTGCCATCCTGGGAACTATGATTCACAGCTCCCACCGAGCCTGGCCCATGAGCCTGACAGAAGGCGGCCATTCAAGTCCTTCCCTGAGCCTCATCAAATGGGGAGGAGGAAAGAAGGCAGCCCCCATCCCCTCAGCCTCTGCCCTGAGACCCAACATGGACAAGGCCAATGCCCAGAGAGCAGCATGACTGCAAGGGTACAACAGGGCCCCCCAACCTCTGGCCCCATGACAAGTTCTGAGAATGGAGTCAAACCACACCCTCTGGCCTAAATTGGTGCAATGCCTACATCTGTCAAGTGGCCAGCCTGACATCAACACTGCCAACCGCCACTGCCTGAGCACCTACCGCATAGGGGACCTACAAGGAGCTGCATAGACCAATCTTACTAATCCCCACAAGATGAGTATCATCAGCTCCTCATTTTGCAGAAAAGGAAACCAAGGCCCAGAGTAGTCATGCAGCTTGCCTCAGGATGCAGAGCAACAAAGTCAAGGTCAATCTGACCCGGCAACATGCATCCTGCCCACAGGTCAGGTCTGCAGCCATTCCTGGAGCACCAACTGTGTACCAGAGGCCAGGGACAGAGGTCGCAGGAGCTCCAACTCAGAGCACTTGAGTATGTTGGGGGTAGGGCAGCATCAAGTGCAGCCAGGTGCTCTGTGGGCTGAGCGTGAAACAAGCTCATTCCCTGAGGTCTGTGCAAGGCCCTAATGAGGGCGGGAGAGTAGGTATTTACAGCGGAGCGACAATGGCCCAGCACCTGTGACTGTGGGTGCAAAGGCCCTAAAGCATCAGTGCACAGAGGAGGCTCAGTCTGCGGGGTGGGAAATGACCTGGGCTGGCTTCAGAGCTCCCTGGGGCTCCTAGTGCCACATACTGGAGAATAAAGGGCAAAGGCCAAGACAGGTGTGAGAAGGAGGGCAGCCATGTGAGAAGCACCCCTCTCCCTGCACCAGGCTCTGGATGATGCAGGCTATCTCAGGTCCCCCAGACTGGTGGACAGCCCTCGCCCAGTGGGTGCCATCATTTGTTCCAGGGGCCAGGCACACTAGATATGGGGCACGACTACTGTTACCAAATCAGCCATTCTTGAGCCTAAAAATAGAAAAATAAGATGCTCTCAACCTAAGTCCCTACTGTGTCCAACACAGAAGCACAAGGGCTCCGGGGCCCTGTGCCCCATGTGCCTGGGGCACCAGTTCATTTACCCTAAAAGTCATGGTAGGGCACACTGGGGCTCATGCCCCCCTCTCCCTGCACCCCATGCTCAGCTCTGGCTTCCTCACTCCAGGCTAAGCACACAGTTGGCACTGCCTCTGCATGACATCTATTTTGCAGACTGCTCTGCTCTGACAGTGGGCTGAGGACAAGGCCACAAGGATGAAGGTGGAAGGGTTAGGCCCTCAGCACAGGACAACTCAAGGCCTTTGCTCTGCTCATTCCTCTGTCTGGGACACCCTTCCTGTGGACCCCAAGGAGACGCCCCTTCCCCTGGCACACTGAACTGCCTCACACGGCAGCCCTGGGCCAGCTCAGCCTCCTCCCACAGCTGGTACCATTGTGCCCGACACCCCAAGAGAGTTGCCCTCTCCTCAGCTCCCACCCCCAGCAACCCTGCGGGCCAGCTCCTCTGACTTCCCACTTTGTAGATGGAAAAACAGGCTGGGAGTGGAGGTGCCTTGCCACGTCTCAGCAGCAGTGAGTGGACAAGCTGCACGGCTCTCAGCCTGCCCCAGCCTCCTCCTCACATCCTCAGCATTTCCTTGCTGCCTGCCCTCCAGGATGCTCTCCTTGCCAGCTAGAGGCCTGCCTCCTCCAGGAGGACTTCCAAGCCACCTGGGGTCCCCACCCTCATCTGCTGGTGGGGGGGGGGGCCTTGGGTTCTGCATGTGCCCTCCTAGCAGGCATGGCCCCTCAACGACAGTTCTGGTGGGACTCAGTGTGCACTGACATGCCCAGGCCCTCGAGGAGTCAAGGTTCACCCAGCCCAGCTCTGTGAGGCTCTGCAGGGCCTGCTTCTCCACATCACCCTTCCCCAGGATAGTCAGTCATCCCAGGGGATGCGAGTCTTGGGCAGAGCAGGGACCAGATGGACATACTGTGCGGGAGGAAGGGGCTGGGGCCCTGTGAGGCTGGCAGGGCCACAGAGCTCTAGCACAGGGTTCCCAAGGGCAGAGCCAGGCGCAGAGCCCGCTGGCCCTGGAGACACCCCTCTCAGGATCAGCAGAGCAGAATGGCCCACCTTGAGCTCCCCTGCCCTCTCTTGTCTTCAGCATCCCAGTGGGCCTGGGAGTTGGGCGGCAGGAGAGAGCTGCTAATGCACGTCTGTTGCTGACATAGCCTAAGAAGTAGAAAAGCAACGTTTATTGGGCATCACCGGCCACCTGGCAGGTGCTTTCACTCATGTAGTCTTCAAAACCCTGAGACAGATTCTTGTCCCCACTTTACAAATGAGGAAACAGAGGTTCAGCAGGTGGTGGAGGCAGTATCTGCCTAGGTCCAACCCAAAGCCAATTTCAGTGCCCAAACTCCCTCCTCTGAGGAAGAAGGGGGCCCCAGGCCCAGCTGGGATCAGTGCCAGATCTTGATGTCACCTCCCCAGGAGCAGGTGCCGAGGACGGAGGGCAGCACGGGGTGGTAGGTGGTGCCAACACAGGCCTGTGTGTGCCCCTGCAGCGTACATGCCCTGCTGGCTGTGCGGAAGCTGAACATCAGGACCCGGCCATCAGCACTGCCTGTCACCAGCAGGTCACCACACGGAGAACACTCACAGCCCACTGCATAGCCTTCGACCTGTAGAGACATGGGGGTGGTGAGTGGGCCACACCCAGTCCTCAAGGATACCTGTGCATCAGGATTATGACTCCACTCTACAGAGGAACACCTGAGGCCCAGCAGCCCTGAGGCCAAGCCAATTCTTCTGAGAGGCTCTGGAATGGGCCACGGTCCACCAGAGCCACGTTCCAAGGAGGGTCCAGAGGAAGCCAGCTGGAGCAGCCTCAGTGATAAGTCACTGAGTTTCTGGCCCCTTCTGCCCAGCAAAGGAGGCCTTGGGTGGGAAGAGGCTGATGCAGAGATGGCCCCGTGCCCATTCTGCCTTGCTCCTACCCTCACCTCCACCACTGTCCTTATGAGCTCCCTAGTGTTTTCAGATTGGCCCAGGATCTGGGGTAGACAAAAGCCTAGGAAAGAGAAGGCAGAATCTACCCAGACAGAGGGTCGTGCCCTGGGCCCCAAGTCCATTCCTGGTGCTGCCTACCAGGAGGCTCTGTGTACCTTGTGTCCTTCATAGCGCCGCCGTCTACTCATCCGGTAAGGCCACACAGCAGAGAAGAGGGCCAGGTAGTTTCCATTGGTCTGTGCCAGGAATACAGGCTCTCTTGGGTGCAAGGCAAGGCTGGGGCAGGTATATCTCTCCTGAGAAACAGCAAGACCACAGGAAGGTCAGAGAAGGGTGCTCATGGGGTCTTCATCTCTAGCCTTCACTCTGCTCTTGAGGCCTGGTACCCTCCCGCCAGGCCTTGGCTTGAAGGTCTGAATGAGTTTCCTACTGCCGCTGTAATCTAGTGGCTTAAAACAACACAAAGTTATTATGCCGTTTTAGAGGTCAGAAATCTGATGGGACTCTCACTGGGCTAAAATCAGGATGTCTTCAGGGCTGTGTCCCTTCACCAGGCTGTGTGGGATCTCATTTCCTTGCCCTTCTCCAGCTCCTAGAAGATACCTGAAACCCAGTGGCAGGATTAAAAATGGCCCCCAAATATATCCACATCCTAATTCTTGAGCCCTGGGACATTGCCTCATGTGGTCCTGCCCACCTCCCTCCCTACCTCCATGGTGAACCCCAGTCCCATGGCCCAGCCTTGCCCAACCCAGGGTCTCACATAGCCAAAAGGCCCAGGAAATGAGGAGGCAAATGGCCAAATGAATAGGTAAAGTGGGAATAAACTGTTCAAATCACAAGGGGGTGGGGTCCCCACAGAAAGAACTCTAAGAACTCCCCCCTCAGCTAGACCTGGTCTTTAACGTGTGAGACTTAAGTCAGAGTCTTGAAATGACCCCACTCAAGAGGACAAAGTGAGGAGCCCTCAGGACAATATGCATCAGAGGCACAGAGGCCATGGTGGCCAAATGATGTGCTCCCTGGCGTGAGCTGCTGGCACAGCACCTGCGGCAGGACATGCTTCATCAGCCTGGCTCCAGGTCTCTACGGGCTCCTGCAGACAGGTGCCCTCCATGGTCAGAGGTGCCCTCCGTGATCAGGCGTGCCCCTGAGCCCTTCTCGGGGCCTTTCCTTCCCAGTGGGCAGCATTAGAAACCCCTGCAGGGAGGAGGCAGGCTATTTGCTCAGGCCACTTGGAACCGTCAAAACAAGGAGAAGGGGCTTGCACACATGACAGCACTTTAAACTCAGATTTGCCGTCTCCAAAGGCGACAGTGGTAATGATGGGGTTGGTGCTGCTGGTGGTGGCTATAGTAGTGATGACCGTGGTGCTGGTGCTGGTGACAGTGGTGCTGGTGGTGGTGGCTGTAGTAGTGATGCGGTGGTGCTGGTGGTGGTGACGGGTGCTGGTGGGGACAGTTGTGATAACTGGCAGTGGTGGTCATGATTGTGATGATGGTGGTTGTAGTGGTGGTGACTGTGGTGCTGGTGGTGGTACTGTGGTGTGATGACAGTAGTGATGATCAGGTGGTGGCTGTTGCAGTGATCAGGATGGGAGCCAGGATGGTGTCGGTGCTGACGACTGGTGGTGACAGTAACAGTGATGGTGGAGATGATGATGGGGGGAGGATAAGGAGTTGTGGTGATGACACTGGTGCTGGTGGTGGGGACAGCGAATGTGGCGCTGATACTGGTAAAGACAGTGAAAACATAATGCAGCACTCCCTGTGCCTAGCACTGTGCTATGTGCTCTTTATGAGCATTCTCCCTTAATTCTCAAAACCAGTTTCTGTAGTAAATCCTCAATTTTCTGTTTTGTTGTTGGTGTTGTTGTTGTTGTTTGTTTGTTTGTTTTTGTTTTTGTTTTGTGACAGGGCCTTGTATGTTGCCCAGGCTGGTTTCCAACTCCTGGGCTCAAGTGATCCTCTTGCTACAGCCTCCTGAATAGCTGACACTATGGGCAAAGGCCATAGCATCTAACTCTCTTCTTAATTTTCTAACAGGAAAAGTAAAAAATTAAAAAGGCTTAACTGGGCACGGTGGCACACACCTACATTCCCAGTGGCTCAGGAGGCAGAGGCAGGAGTATCGCAAATTCAAAGCCAACCTCAGCAAGAGTGAGGAACAAAGTAGCTCAGTGAGACCCCATCTCTAAATAAAATACAAAAAAATTGGGCAGGAGATGTGGCTTAGTGGTCGAGTGCCCCTGAGTTCAATCCCCAGAGGCCCTCTCAGCTTACTTGGGAAGCTAAGGCAGGAGGATGGCAAGTTCAAGGCCAGTCTCAGCAACTTAACAAGACCCTGCCTCAAAATGAAAAATAAAAAGGGCTAGGAGTGTAGCTCAGTGGTATAGCGCCCCTGGGTTCAATCACCAGTATGGGGGCGGGGGGCTAAATAATGATGAATGCAGGACTTTAGCAAAGGTGTTCTACTTCAAGCCCCTGCTCTGAACTCTTCCATCGCACCACCTACCAAAGATGCTGAGCAAGAGAAGTCAAGACACCCCTTCTGCTTGGCTGGTTGGGCTGGCAGTGGGAGGCTTAGGGCCTCTCAGGTCACAGGGCCATCTTCCCTTCATCTAGTGGGGCTGCCCCAACTGTGGTGGGTCCTGTGTAGGGATAGGAAAGCAGGAGTGCTGTTCTGGAGGCCTACAGACAGTGCTGGCAGCTCGCTCTTGGGTCCCATCCTGAAGATTTCAGACAGCTGAACCCTGTCCCACAGGAGGGGCCTGGGAACCCAGATAGACCAGGGATACAGGAATATGCCAGGGTTGAAACTGAGAACATTGCCAAATAGAGCTTCTCACGTGGAAAATCTGGTTGGAGATTTTGGCGGAGGTCCGGAAATCCCAGGCAATGATAGTACGGTCAGCAGAGTCCCGGGTAGAAGCGTCGGTGCTGCTCAGGAACTCAGAGCCTTCCTGGAGAAAGAGGATGTCCAAGGTCTGCTGGATGGTTGCCTTGTAGCCTCTCACCACCTGTAGGAGAAGAAACTGGTCACACAGGGCAGCCCGGGAGCACAGGGCAGGTGCCCACCCAGGCACCCAGGAGGCGGTGGGTTTATTGAAGCGGTTCTGGACCACATTCGCTCTAGCAGAGTAGCCCCATGTGCTTGTGCAGAGGGGGAATCCCCGGCTTCCCAGCAGGCCAGTGCCTGCAGCTCCTGGGGCTATTCTGTGATGCTTCCCCCATGACAGCCTAGTCCCATGACCTCGTCCCCCTGCTGCCTCATGGGTGGGTCCAATGAAGCACCAGCCTCTCCAGCACACAGACCCCTTGAGAACAGCAGGTACCCCATGAAAATGGGCTGAAGAAGGGCCCAGGCCTTGCTCGAGGCCCCCAAGGGCGTGGTGATACTCATCAATATCGACGTCACATAATTCCCAGCTCACAAAGTCCCGAACCATTGTCCGTGGAGGAGTGACAGTGATACAGGGAGCAAGCATTCCTGGAGATAGATCCTAAGGCCAGAGTGGCAGATACACTCCAGCTCTGGAGGCACACCTCATCTTCTGATCGTGCCCCCTCTGCTTCTTCAAGGTTGCTTTCCACACCTTTTGCTGCTCCAACTCCACCTGGGCTGGGCAGGGGAGAGGCCACCTGAGAACCAAGAGAAGCTCCATTCACAAACAAGGATGCCGTGACATCACTGCATCCTGACAGAAAAGGCCAGTGTGCCCAGGCTGCCGAGGTTCCAGCTCCCAGGGTGCCAACACACAGCTGCGGCACCAACACAGCTCAGTCCTGCCAGCTGTGGAATGAACTGTCTTCACAAATCAAGAAACTGAGTCTGCAAAAATTTTTGACTGGTGTTTTCTGTTTTCCCTTTCAAGTGCACACCCTGAATTTCCATTAAATGCAGCCCTCCACAGACTTCATTTAGACCAGTGAGGGATACTAAGTTCAGAGAGGTAGAGACTGGCTCAAGGTCACACAGCCAGAGTGGTACAGATCCTTTCCCCATGCCTGGGGCCCCAATTCAGTTTCTTACTGGCCAGTTCCTGGGGTTAAATTCATTGGCAAGGGTAGTAACAAATGACTGCTCTTCTCTGAGTCTCTTCAGAAGTAGCCTTCAGCTAAGGTGACTTCAAGGTGGGCCCGTGAAGCAAAAAAAGTGGTCAAGGAGCAGAAAAGGTCACCCTGCAGACCCCTGGATGCAGGACAGGGAGACAGTGGAGTCCAATCTCACCTCAGCACCATCAGCTCTATGGGCCACCCCAGGCCCTGACAGCCCTGCAACAGCTACCCCTTCCCCTCTCTCTTCTCCCAAAGATGCCACAATAGCAGCCTAGGCAGCAGGGGCTGCTTGGCACTTGCTTCCTGTGTGTTCTCCACACACCAGGCTTCTACTAGACACACCTGAGCCTCACAGGGTGGGCTGGGGTGCAGTGCCAAGCCCTGCCAGGGCCCCCAGGGCTGTGCTACTGCTGCCATGGTCTACCTGCCAGTCTGGGAGGACCTGAGAAAGGACCCTGCACATCCCAGCTCCCAAGAACAGCAGCACCCCAAGGCAGTGTTACTGTCGACTCTGGTGAGAAGGGAGGCAAGGAAGCAAGGCTCTGACAGGGTAGCTCTGGAAAGACCTCTTCACTGGCTCCAGGTCTAGCAGTGGAGTCCAGTCTCACCTCAGCACCACCAGCTCTATGGGCCACCCCAGGCCCCAACAGCCCTGCACACCTCCCTTCCCCTCTCTCTTCTCCCAAAACCTTCTTAATCGCTAAGCTTCACAGAAGGAAAAGGAAGTCTGGAGACAGTTGGGCACCAGACACCAGGAGAGAAGCAAATCTGGCCAGCACATGTCCCTGGGTGTGGCCTGTGCACTGAGACATTTCTCCTCCATGGTGGCCACAGAAAACCCCCAGAGTATCACCAGCCCATATAAAACTGCTGTGGCCAGGCACCACGGATGTTGGGCAACTCCCATCTCTGTGCCAGAACCATGAGCTTCCATGTGGCCCATAACCACAGCTCCCCACCAGCCTCAGTCCCTCAGGCTCTGCAGCAGGTGAACAGGAAGGAATGCAGGAGGCGTTGTGAAGGCCCCGAGGAGGCAAGGTGCCCAGGAGCTGTGGCTCCTGGCTCTGTCTGCAGCAGAACTGCCTGCATGCCCTACCTACACACCAGCCACTCCCAAGGCAAACCTCTATACATTCCCCCAGAATAGACAGAAATGGCACAGCCCACTGGGTGTCATAAAACTGAATGGCCGGGAAACAAGCCGTGTTATGGGCAATCCCTGCCAATAACACGGCTGTCAGTAGAAGGCTGGCCTTTGGAGCCATGGTCTAAGCGATCATCTGGGAACATGATTGACTGCCTTCATGCTGCTCAGTCCCTGGGAAACAGCAGAGGGGCCATTTGTGTGTCTGGTTAGTGGATTTTATGGCAACCTTGATGAGATGGACAGCTGGTGCCTCCCATCCCAGGAGGAAGTCATTGCCCAGACCAGACTAGCTGCATCCAAAAGGGACTCCTCTGGCAACTGCAGGTCCTGGCAGACAAGCAGGTACAAAGCCTTGGGGACAGTGGAAGACAGACTGTGACACCTGCAGGGGTGATGGAAAACCCCTGAAGGCCCAGCACAAGGCTCAGCTGGGCCGCCCGCTAACGTGGGCAGCGCTGGGCTGCTGCTGACTCTCAGGAAGACTCACTGTGCCTCCATGGCTTTTGGCCTCCAGTGCACAGGCCCAGGGCACAGGCGAGGCTCCTGCCTGGAGCCCACAGAGACCACCCTGTGCACAGGGAGATCCCTTTCCTCTCCAGGCCCAGAGTTGAGTCCTCAGAAAGAGGAGGGCTAGGGTGCAGGCCATTTCTCTCAGGACCTTGCCAGTGCTCTGCACCCAGGCCTGGGCATAGTGGGGCTGCGGGGGACCCTGCTCTGGGCACCTCAGGAGCCCGAGCTCCCTCCCCGCCAGCCTCGGCTCCCACTCACGCCATGACAAAAGCTTTGTGGCCCAGCCTCTGAGGTAGTCTTGGCAGGCCTCAGTCAAGTGTGCTAGATTAACTGCTGGGTAAATGCATGAGTGAAAAACAGTGACTTAAAAGACAGCAACCGGAGGGCCCAAGGCCCCCAGTTCTATCCTGCAGCCAGGCCAAGGCAACTCACACGGGACCTCTGCTGCTGCTGGCTCCACCAGACCCCTGAAGGAGACCTCGGAGGTCATTCACAGGCCCCTCGGAATCAGAGCAGGCCGGGCCTTGCCCTGGCCCAGGGACATGGAGACCAAGAAAAGCTGCTCCAAGACCTGGGCAGAGGTGGGAGAAGGGCAGAGGGAGTGCACACACACAGTGCCACATCAACACGAGAGGCAGGGGGAGGGCCTCTCCAGATGAACAGGGACAGGGCGCCAACTGGGAGGGCCAAAGTGCTTAGGCAAGTGCCCCGGGAAGTCGGAGGCCTATTACTAGTTGTGTGACTTGGCAAGTAAGTTGCCTCTCTGTTCTTCAGTCTCCACACCTGTAAAGTAGGACAACAAGAGACCTCCATCTTAACAGCTGAACGTCCAGCTGAGCACCCAGCGCGCAGCAGATGCTCATGAGCCTCCTCTTCTGAGCCAGCCAAGAGCTGGCACTTCAGGATAGAGCTGAGTATTCTTGGGCAAGTCCCTTCTCTCCACACTTCCATTCCTCTTCCCAGAAGATAAGCACTCTGGTCTCCTCCAACACCAGGATGCAGGCAGTCCTCACTAAAACTGAGCTGGAGGGCAGCATGGGCCCCCTTCCAGGGTTTCCATTCACACAAGGAGCCAACACATAGTACACTGTCAGGAGTGCCCTGCTGATACGTTTGAACAGAAATAAAAAATTTACATGTTTTTTAAAAAAAACATTAAAAATGGGAGAAAACATGAATGAATTTCTCCAGAACCTCAAACTTGGAAGAACTTTCCCAGCTGTGATTCCCAAAACCATAAGCAGAAAGAGAAAACTACACGAAAATAGAAAAAGAGAAAAAACACTCTCGGCTGGCAGAAAAGAAGTGAATAAACAAAAGAAGTGAAGTAAGACAAATGGAAAGAATATTTACGACTTACAGTAGAGTCAAAGGTCACCATCAATAATTCAGAGACTGTATCTAAAAACAGATGAAAAGGACCAAGAGCTCTGTAGAAAATGGGCAGCAGAACAGCTCACAGAGGCTCCAACTCTCCTGCCTTGCTCGTGACAGACACCAGATGCCAAGCACTACCTACCTAACACACAAGACCACAAAGTCTGCTAACACACTCCACAGGTGACTGGGGGCTGGGCACAGACGTGCTGTACCCACGCACAGCCCCTGCACACAGGGTCTGCACCACTTCTATCAAAATGAAGTGGGCATAGCTACCCAGCAATGCTACAGACCAGCAACCCCACTTCTGAGAACTGACCCCAGAGTCACACCATGTCATGGAAAGCAGCACGGCCTATGAAAATAAAGAAATGAACACAGCCCAGCATCCATCAAGCAAGAAAGGTTGAGTACCCTGCAGGACGCTCAGGACATCCAGAATGCAGGCCTGTGGAGGAGAAGGAGGTGCTCTGGCCTGCCCGGGCCCAGTGGAGAGACGGCAGGCAGAGGGGCAGTGCAGCAGCAGAGGACAGTGTGCTCCCTGGGCGTGCGGCTGCAGTAAGTGTCACTTGTTTCTCGTCTATTGATCTACTCACTTATTGCAGGGCTGGGGCTGGAACCCAGGACCTCATGCAGGTCAGGCAAGCGCTTTACCACTGAGCCACACCCCAGCTACTTACACTAGAAAAAGTGGAAAGATAAACCAAAAATGAAAATAAGTAAATAAAAATTTTTTCTCTAGAGAAGGGAAGACAGAATGGTAGAGACAGGGTTATGGGTAAGACTTTTTATCATTCTCTCATAGGACATTGGTATACTGCCCCTTGTTTTGAAGATATGACTTGAGAACAAAGGTCACAGATTTTTTTTTTTTTTTTTTTAAGGGCCAGACCACACTACTTCAGGGAGCCACATACAGTCACT